GAGTAAACATGTTTTAAGATATGATGGACCCTACAAGATATTGTTGTTTATATCTGATGTAAGCTGTGTAGTACAAAAAATCGAAGATTCTGAGGTTGTAAAAAGAGTACACATTTCACAGTTTAAACTGTAAAAGAAGGTAATAATTTTATTTCAATTATTCTAAAGAAATATGGTCATATTTTTAATTTTGCTTTTGAGAATTGTTTAAAGTTTTGATTTATATCTTTGTAATATTATAAAGAAGCTGAGATTATTTTATTTTATAAAAAAAAAAATAATAAAAATTGTTTAGTAAATCATGAGTAAACAAAAGAAAATGTTTTGTTGATGTATGAAAAGAAAATGTCATGAATAGTGAATTTTAAATCAATTTTAATCAACTCATAACTTTGGATTTTGTTTCAGTAAATTTTTTTATGTAATACATTTTTGTTCAGTAAAGTTTGATATCAATAAGAAACAATAAGGGTTAGTTTAGGAAATGAAAGAGATTTAACAGAGAAGTACTAGATATATAATGATGAACTTGTATCTGTGTAATAATGTTATGATTGTTTTAGCAATTTTCAGGTAATAAAAAAAGGAAAATATATGTATATTTGCAAATGGTTTATCTAATGGGCTAACAAATGCATTTCCAGAAGATTAAACAAACTGAATTGTAAATAAGAGTATGGTAAATGAGGTATTTTAGAATAAGTTATCTATATAATTAATCAATCGTCAAAAAAAAAAAAAAATGTCATTGAGAGATTTAAAGTAAACTATGCACTAGTATTGTCACTAACTACACTACGCTTACCTTGTGAAAACTTACATACTATGCACTAACACAAACACATAACTTACTGCTTATTCACTTACTGCATTTCACAACTTGATACACTTTCACTTGGGGGGACTTTTACACTTTGCATGCATGCACTTTTACTAAACAAAAACTTTACACTTCACTCACATTGAACTACACTTCTCACTTCACTTCAATCAAACACCTATTCACTTGGGATAATACAGTGTATGGTACAAGTTGAATTTCTTGACTACACAGGATGTTAAAGTTGTATTGTAGTAAAATATTGCAGCGATGACATTCCACAGATTGTGTTCATATTTCTTGGTCGAATGGTTAATGATGTGTTCGTCTCATGCTAAAACAAGTCACAAAGATAATTGCCCTTATTGATAACAAAATAGTCATGTTTTAAAAGGAATTGTGTTGTTAACAATTAATGTAAATGTTTATAGAGATTGAAATAAAATGGTTTTAAAATGACAAATGTTGAACGGAATTGATGTTAAAGTTAATAATGTTGATTTTATCAGAAGAATTTTTGGTTTCATGTTTTATGTTCATTGTATTATTTATGAATCACCTTTTTATGAGATACAAATGTTTTATTTTAATAACTCAAAACTTGATAGTGAAAAATGTTTATTTGATTTTATCCAAAAACTTGTATTAAATAATTTGAATACTGTTACATTATTTGAATGTTGTTACATATCTGATAATGCTGAGATGCTGTGGAGAGGTTGGAGCCTTGTTGTCTTTGTCTTGCCCGGTCTGTCATGCTGCCCACCTGTTGTTTCACTATTGGGAGAGGTACATCCAAGCAACTAGAAAACTGTTATCAGCCCTGCCCGACCTACCTCAACCCATGATAAGGACTAGCCAACCTGAGGGACAACTATGTTGCCAAACTTCTTACAGAGTTGCCAAGTCTACTGCTGGACAAATTTATCTTCTTAACTTAACTTTCTTAATTTAACTTCAAACATGATAAATATCAAAAATGCTTAACTTATGAAATTGTATTTAAATGATTTTGAACTTAGTATAATTTAAATGTTTGCAAAAATTTTTAAATGGATCGTTTATAAATATAAAATATGTACTTACTGTTTAAATTCAGGGGGAGAGAATTGTACCATATGTACAATAAGATGCCAATTTTCCTGTTAGTTTAGCTTCAGTCATTCATGTAAAAGACAAAGCAACGCTCAACAACCAATCAGATGTTTAGTTAGTTTCTTGCACAGATTTGTTTAAACCAAGGTTATATAAGGCCCTCTGCCACGTGCTGCTGTCTCTTTTACAGTCAGTTTTTCATAAGTAAAGTTGTTTTAAATTCAGTGTTTAACCCCATTTTGGGTAAGTTTTTCTTTTTTCTAAATTTAGTTAAGTTTTGTAGTAGTCTCCAAATTAAATAAATGCCTTGCTTTCTCTTATTTAAATTCACATATTAAAATTATAAATTTTGGTAAATTCCAATTTAAAATCAGTAGAAATCCATCAGTAGACAAAGAACTAAAAGATTGTTTTATTTTCAGGGTTTTTGATAATGTTCACTAAAACATAAATGATAATTGAAGAACGAGAAATTTTGTTAGAACAATGTCAAGTAAAATATAATTATTTAATACACAAGATCGAAGCAAGATGTTGATTTATTTGTTTATTCCTTAAAGCTAAATTGTGCCTATTTATGAATTTTAAAATTAAAGGGTACATATTTATTGTGATCTATCTATGTATTTATAAAGGTGTATCATGCTTTCTTTGTATCATCTAAATGTTGTTCACTTTGATTACCGTAAATATCTTCAATTTAGCTAATTAACTTATATAAGAAATTTGTTAAACTCAATCCGAGCAAAGCTTGGTCTCCTGGTACTATGGATAAAAATAATATCAGACAAGAAGTTAACTGTAAGAAAGGACCATGAGGTCCGAAAGTTAGCCTCGATGAAGAAGAATTTGCATTTTATCACGGAGAATAATTTCATTCATTTAATTTCATCTTCGGATTTAACAATTAATTGGATGAATTATTTTATTTATTTTCTTGTATTTTATTACAAGTTAACTACTAGTAGTATCAAAATTCAACAGTATTTGTTACCTTACCAATTACTTTTAATACTTTAATACTTACACGGAAGTAGGAATTTTAAGCCAAGTATGAATGGAGATGAGGTTAGGATGAGTGGCGCGATCTTGTAGTCTTAATGACTAAGGCCGAAATATTCCTTAGACACAGCCCATAAAGCCAATGTCAACTAAGGTAGGTACCTACAGTTGATAAAAAATTCGAGCCACATTTTTACTTTTTAATTAACGTAATGGTCTAATTATAGGGATAGTACTGCTAATAGTCGTAGTACTCACTAGTGCGGACGTTAATCACAGTACATGCCTTGTAGAGGTCGTGCTTTTTACAATTTGTTTCTTGTTATTACAGTCATTTTAAGCCTAGTTTAGCTAATTAAAACTATCTAATCATAAAAAATAACTCGTCCCCTAGTTGTATAGTCAAACAGTAAAGCACAAATCATTAAATCAACCCAAAAATAATAGAAACAAAATGTCGTTGACATTAGCAATCAGTGTCAACGGAGACACGATAAACGAGCTTAAAAATTTACAATGGGATGAGAAGATTGCATGCGTTGGTTAATTCCCACCTATCCGAAATAGTTCCAAATTCTGTTTAAAAATACGGTTCTAATTTTCTCACTATGCTGAACATAAAATGTGCATGCAGGTTTCGAATTTTGTGATAGAAGGCAGCATACAGAGAATGTACGAAAGAAAACAGATTTCACAAAAGTATGGTCAAAGACGTTGACTCGCAAGGGTTACCGGTCTTCGTTCACGAGGTATCGCTGCTTCCTCTACACCGGCCGTTAAAGTCTCCAATGTATCCACAATTCGTGACCTCCAAGTAGCTGGATTACAGGACAACGCCACCGTACCAGGCATTTTACTGGCTTATCTACGTTAGTAAAAAAGAAAACAAAAGGAAAACTAGTAAACAAATTTTAATTAAGGCAAAGGTAAAAGTGAAAGCTATTTAAAAAAAATGTACGATAAATAAAACCAAAATTTGGCGAATAATTAATCAATCATCTGACATAATCATAATTAATAATTGAAGGATTTACCAAAGTACCGGTAGGAGTAGAGCACACACTCACACACTACTACTTTCAATGAACCCACAGTTACTACCTTAATTTTTTTTCACGCTATTTTTTATCTGTTATTCTGTAAAATAGTACAGTTGTAAACAAAGATTCATAAAATCTGATATTAGGGACCTTTTCCACTATACGACCGCCCCTATGTGATTTTTATGTAACGATACAGAAACGAATCGTTCCAACCAACCTAACCTAACCCATTACAGGATTTCTAGATATCTAAATATAACATTGTATTAAAAGAAATGCTGCGGCCAAGTCTTTTTTTAAGGCTTATGCAGTTTGGTATTGTAAATTTATTGCATATGTGCTGTACCAAGTAATAAATAAATAAAATAATAGTAATAGTATAAAGGTAATAAGGATGGTGAACTTTTGAGGAAACCCATCCAACTATATCCTACTTGAATGAAAGATCTCGATGGGAAACTTTCCCGAAAAATATTAGTTTGCCTCCACTAAAAGGGAACTTAAAGTATCAAATGATTGTATTTAGTCACTTCTTTCCACACAACATTAAATTTAAACTGTAAAAATCATCAATTACTGTATACATTATTTTGGCAATATTGCCCTGTGGTTTGACTTGGAAGAGCTTTACAAAATGAAGGGATGCAACTGCGTTTTTTATTAATAGTATTTTAAACCCAATTACTGTTTTCTAAACTAGCTTTAAAACACTAACACTATGCTCTTCCGCGCCATTATCGAGTTGTGAAGCACGGGTGAAGCAACTAATTTTCATTTAACTTTGTAAAAACATTTTTATTTCATACCAAGCTAAAAGAATTTCACTTAAAACATTGTATTCCTTCCTTGTAGCATCAAACCTAAGTAGTCGTTAACATAATGCAATTTAAATAGGGAATACATCTGGCGTATTTAACTAAACGATTTTTTTAAAGATCCAATGAGGCAATTGGAAATTCGCTTAGTCTGCAGGTTTGCTGTGGTGTGGTTATTTTTAATTTTATATAGTACAACGTGTCATGTGGTTTTGTTTGTTCCAGATCAACGTGGCACTGCTGTTTCTGGCGGTTGTTGCTGCAAAACAGAGCAATCTCAACCCTTCCTCCTCTAATGCTGTCAGGAATGTGAGTATGATTATCCATAATTCATTTTTATATAGTTCATTTTATTACATTTGGCTTATTAATTGGTCGCAATTAAAAAACCATCGGTTGAATTTTTTATTTAAAAAGTTACATTGATATTTCTTGACCCAGTGCATCCAGTTTTGGGAACTGGGAAACATTTACTACCATTGATGTTGTTCAAAAATTTAAATTAAAGTGGCATGTTACTAATAAAGTTTGACATGCACTCGCGAAAGAAAGTTTTATTAGAGAATAAATGAGAAAATATTTTTTTATTCAAACTTCTTACAAAAATGTATTCATAGTATACAATAACATAAAATGAACAAACGAAGATTTGTAGGCTTAACTTGATCTATTCAATAAATCGGTGAGTGCAGTGCTGGTTTGTGCAGACATAGTAGTGCCTCACCTCTTCCTCAGCTTATAATAAATGTATGAATTCAAATTGGAAAAAATCAACGTTTCTTCGTAGTGAACCATTGACCCTTTTTGACAACGATGAAGTGACGACCAGAGAGCACCATACTTTTGACTTTTCAAAAGTTACAAGCCTCTCTCACAGCTAATAAGGCCTGAGGAAACAAATACTAGTCTCTGTTGATGAGTTTACTTTCTTCATAGGTCCTTTTTACGATTTCTTGCAATTTCTTTCACGATCTTCCCCTATCTTACCACTTATTCTTACATTTACTCTTTCTTTAACACAAATTTCTCTAAAATCATGTTTAAGCTCTTCTGTATTCCATTGATTTACGCAAAAAGATCACCATAGTCATGTTACACTCATATTTTCTAATATTGTTCATAAAGTTGTTGTGTAATATTTAAGATTTTGATCCTGTATCGTCCTCTTTAGTACTTATGTTCCCAGGAACTTCATTTTTGAAGCTTGTATTCGGCTATTGTTTTTTTAATTTTTTTTAGTTAAAATTTTTGATGATTTGAAACTGGAAACAGCTGTCTTTGGTTATCACCAGCTGGCTATTAATGATCATGGATGATGAAAGCTGGTCTTAGTCAATGACAAAGCTACAAACAATAACTAGGCACCCTTTACTCATATTTGGGTTAAAATACGCACATAGGTAGTGTCCCCATCTTAAATGGTAAATGTATTTGGTACAAGTTTCTAGACCATGTTGCGAACTCGGTCAAAGTTTTGTTAAACGTTGTTGGATTTTACTATTTCGGTATTTTAACATTCACTAAAGACTTCCTCAATCACGAATTTATTTATTCTGTTTCTGAGTAGAATGATTGTTTTATTTAGATGTACCCCAGTACCCCTAATGATTCTATTACCTATCTTCCGGGAACGAGCTGGTCTAGAGGTAAAGCTCAGGGCTTCGGTGTCCGAGGTCCCGGGTTTAAATCCCACCAATCACCAATGTATTTTATCCATGGTAATGTCACGACCATCTAGAACTATCCTGAAGTAATGATTTAAACAGTTCCGAGCTACATGTGAAGGTTCGATATTAAATGTAAAAAAACTAACCATGTTCCAGGACCAAGAGGTTTCTAACGACCAAGTGACGTCCATCCTCGTGCATCCGGGACCCAATGGACCTCGTCACGTGATCCTCTCTAACGAACACCAGGTGATCAAATTTACGGAATTCAATTTTATCACATTCTACATGCGGAGAAAGTAATGGTTTTGTCAACATTGTTTAGTTTGAGTTTTGAGTAGAAATCTCAGTTTTTGGACAAAAAAGTTTTAAAGTAATGTCTGTGAGTGTGTTTGTATCGATATAAAAGCCTGCAGGGCTACAGACTACACCTGGGGTACGACACCGATTAAATTTGGCCACGGACTTAAAAACAGAATCAGTAAACTATCTTAAACATAAACAAATGACGTCACAGACCAGAAACATGTCTACTTTCGGGCCTGAGCAAGGCCCCACTAGAAATTTCATTAATAAAGTTATTGCCATTCCCATATGTTTCAGGTAAATAAACAAGCTGGTCGTTTGTAAGATTTATAATGGTAAGAGTTTAGTACAACTACTATCCACCACTGTGACGTAGTGTTGCGCTGCCCGTGCTGCAGCATGGCCTGTTCCTGAGACAGTGAGACATAATTAGTTAATGTTTAAGATCAATACAGTTAATCTATTCCATATGTTAAAATTCTAAACAATATGTTTCAGTCTCGATGTTATAATTAATTAATAATTGAATTTCCTAGTATTTCTCCTTGAACACTCTGAGAAAATTTTCAAAATATCAAATAACCTTTAACTACATTCCTTTAACAATATATCTATATAAATAAAATTAGAGTTTTGTCTGTACATTGTTCAGAATTATATATTTTTAGGTTATTTTTACCGTCTTATACATTAAATAAGCAGAAACGAGTCTTATCTCAATTTCTGTCTGTCTGTCTGTCTTTCCCTTTGTCTGTAACACTCAAGATGGCATTTTACGCTATCTTCTCCTGGAAAACGAGAGTACCTATCAAGATCCAGGTCATTTTAATGTATTCACTGGATTGGCGAGATTGTCTTTAGCCATTAAAATATGGCCTCACTACTTTGTAATAGCTATTTACCTTACAAGTGTAGTAAGAGCGTTTTTACATCACGCAGGTGAATGTTGTGCAACGAGCGGAAGCGAGTTGCATAATTCACCGAAGTGATGTAAACACGCTCTTGCGTAACGTGTAACGTACAAGATTTTACCTGACCCGACAATATACATGGGGTTACGTACAATATTTTTCATTATCCATTTCACTCATCTTCTAACAGTAACTTTCTTTAACAAACAAAAGCTAGGTTAGGAAAATACTTAAAAAGCATAACAATAACATTCAAGCACACAGCTGATTTCTAGCTTTAAACGTCGTTAGCTCCATAGAGGTATATTTTTTAAGTTAAGCACTCAATGTTATTTAAATGGGTTTCATTACCTCACCGAGTGAGTTTTTTTCAACTTTACATCACTCGAGAAGTAAGAAAGTTGTATACATCACTCTTGGGATAGGGAAGTTTAACATGGCGGGTTAGGTAAATAATATTACGAACGTTCAAAAATGTAGTTTTGTGCGATTTATGTCAAGTTTTCGTCCAATTTTTATTGCATAATCATCTATGAAATAACGATCAGCTGTTCGGATCAAGATTATTTTTCCTAGCTGTCACTGATATGTTTACAAATGTTGTTTACAAATACCGCAACCTTATTCAATCACGTTTTGAATGTAAATCCCAAGTGATTAAAAACGTTTTTCTTACATAACGGATTTAATTAATCGGAAGTGCAATAATATAGTGTAATAGTGTAACCGTGTAAATGAAATTAAATAACTAGGCATCATCCAGTTCAGGAACCAGAGATTCTTTGTGTATAAATTGTTCTTGAGTTTTGATAACAGAAAGAAGACCTTGAATCAGTGTTGTATACGGCTGGGAAACTTTAAATTTAATAATGATCGTCGCCAAATGGCTTAATATGGTTTCCACTCATTGACACGGCGCTTCAATGGCGGTTGTGTAAAGTGTAAAGTAAAAAATTACAACTGCAGTGGGTGATTGTAACAGAGGTTTACGGATGATGCTAAACTCGCTTTTCTAATGTGTTATTTTCTGTTCCTACCATTGACTATATATATATAGTCAATAGTACCTACTCACCGTGTGATGCAATCGCTGGACCATACAGCCAATAGGCCCATAGCCCATCTCTTGGGTACGTACGCCTACCCAATTATTCATAACAAACTGTTCGACGACGATCCTTGATACCGGTACTTTTCCCTAGAATACACGGCCTACCTACTTAAGAAATAAAATTACAAACGTCCAAAAACCCAACGTTTTGTGATTTTTGTCACATTTCCTTCTAATGTTATTAGATAGCCTTTACCAATCATTGTTTAGAGAATAGGTACGTAATCTATTAAATAACAAACCAAGAGATCAATAACCTCGGGACTTGATTAACTCATATAATTGGTCGGCTGTACTATAGTTCTCAACTGTGAACGTTGGTTTTTGGTACCGGTTCTATTCCTTAGAACCGTTGGTACTGTTGGTAGTAGCAAGAATCATTTTTAAGTACCAACACATCACTGTACTTTACAAATTAGTTATCGTTGGTGTTGCACCTTATTTATTATTACAGGCGTATTCAATTTGATTGATGTCTTAACTGTACAATTTTGGCTTTTTCTTTCTTGATTCCAAAATGTTAGTTTATGCCAAGGAAACGATAACGCATTTTAGTAAAACCATAACGAATTGTTTAAACGCTTTACGTTGTTTATGTATCAATAGTTCGTGGCCTATTTTGGTAATATTTACTATAAATTACCAATCGTCTATAGTACTTCATTTCATATAGTAAGCCGTCATTTCGGGTCATCATCGGTCCAAGCAAATATACATTGTTATGATGAAATTTGATGCCATTAACAAAATATTTCAGATACTAATTTTACAAGTACTTTGTTATGCTTAAAGCGTAGCAAATCCCCTAATTAAGTTCTGTATTTTTGTGTGTATGTCTGTTAGTACAGCATTAATGTCCTTATTTCTCAGTGTTTCACGGAAAGGACAAAAGTACCTTTATAATGAAAATGTCAATACGAATAAAGTGTTAAATGTGGAGGTTGAGGTAGTACCTTAAATACTTTTAACCATTGTGGAAGGTAACTTTCAATTATAGGCCTACATTAGGGCTATGCCTCATAGATCTATAAAGCATTTTTTAGTTTAATCATTGGATTTAACATATGGACCAACACGACCCAGGTTACATTTAATTTCGAAGCATTTGTTTTGGCTTGAAACTGTCAGATACTGTATTTGCGAAGGTTTATATATAATAGTTTTGCCAGCATATATGAAAATATGCAAACCAAATTCTGTTCTTAATAAAAAGGTTTCAATAACTGACTACAATAAGATCCCCGTGCGTAGAACGGGCACACAGCTAGTCTTGAACTACATTCATTATGGAAATTAAGTTAGTAACGTTGAGGTAGGATTCAGCGTAGTAATCCATTCGTTAGTAACGTCAAGTATGGGTATAATTTATAATGTAGCACCCGTGAAACTAAAATGGTGGGATTATCGTTCGTATAACATGGTATTTTATATGATAAACTATCGATACATCGCATCCTTTTACTCGCCACGGTTCGCCAGTCACCATCGTCGTCAGGTGGCTCGGTGGCTGAGCACGATCACGTAGGCATTATCAGAGGCGCAGTCGTGCCACACGAGATAAAATAAACAACTTTAGATAGTATATTATGATCGTGTGTGAATATATTTGCTACCAGTAATCTATAAACTTGACCAGTAGTTTGTAAATGGGTAAGCTAAAAGAACTATAACTTCGGAAACTGGCGTATGTGTCGACAATTAGAAGAGTTCATTTTGTTGAGATGCATTGAATTCTCTTGACCATAGATAAATAAGTAGATTTACTATTTGCTTACTTAAGAATAAAACGTTTATGTAGGTGTAGAATCTATGGTTTGGAACTTGGATTTTACTACAAAATTTCTTTATTTTTTTGTCATAACTTTGGTGGTCCACTTTGTTTTTGTATTTACGTGTGTTTTAAACGTAAAGGTATAGTTGCTACACATTCATTAAGTGTTTGATTATTGTGCCAACGAAATAAAGATAACGACTTTAGGAAAATGTATAGACCAACAATTATTTTGTTTAATCTTTTTTAGGACCAAACGTTGAACAAGCTCAAAGTCTTTCTTCTGCATCAATAATACAATTGGATTGTGTCAGTACGGTCCACGAGAGTCTGCAGTTGAGGAGGAGCTTTTTACCACGTGACTTCGAAGGAGCCAATGAGGACCATGCGTTGTTGCCAAATCTAATAATACAGTTGATTTGAAAATATTGTTTAGTATATTTAAATTAGTATCGAAAATTTGTGAACGAGTGATGTTGCAACATCGCGCTAGTCCAGTCTAGCTATTGCCTGCCGCCAACTGCAGACTCTCGTGGCCCCTAGTGTAATGTCTGCATTAAATGTTTTGTAACAACATTGTTTTGATTGCAGGTGATTTCTTCTGTAGATGGGATCTCAGGTCGAGCGGTAAACGCAGATTACAACTACCCTCAGACCATCGCTCCGTCTCTGTCTCAGTACACCTACGGTCCACCCAGACCTGTGGGATTCCATCGCAGCAGACCTGCACAGCAGCCTCAACAGCTGTACCACCACAGCTTCCGCCAACCCGGCAAAACCTCTCATGCCAAGGAGCCACAAGAAGAAGCTGTATACAAATACACCACGTATATAAAACACGATAAGGCCAAAGGCGCTGAAAAAGATTACGAAAAGAGCTACTACACTTCACAATCAGCGAAACCTGACTATTCAGTGACAGCTGAGAAAGAATCTCATGAAACACAGCATGAAGGGCTCTCAAAGTACAGGAACCGAGATGAAAAAGAGGAAATACAGTTTAGGGAAAGTATTGGAGATTTGTATAACCCTAACGGTTTTGAAAAGAGTAGTGATTATTCAAACAAAGTAAGCCCACAATCTTATTCAAAGTATCTTGTAAAAAATCACTATATCCCCAATAATCATTTTGCCCCCGTGAAGAGCTATCAAAGTCCTTATTCCAACGCGGACACCAACTCCTACACTGCACCTAGTGGTTTTGACGATTCCAATGGTGGTAAAGTTGTCCCTATATTGGCGAGGTTTTATAAACAACCACTCCCCATCATTCAAACTCAGCTTCCAGCAGATAACGTTGGACTTTTCGTGCATTACTTCCCATCGCAGAGGTCTGAGTACGAAAGAGAAGAATTGTCGAACAACTTTTTCGACTATTCCCATGGTAAATTGTCCCTGAAACGTGATTCGTCCAATTCTGAGTGGACACCCATCAACGCTCCAGACGGGGCGGTTCCCGCCAAATCTTACGACATTCCCGCGCCAGACCTCAGCCGCGAGAAGCCTGTGCAGCAGAAGATTTACAGAAGAGGCTCAGACGATGCTAGTGTTGTCGTGGGAAAAAGTAAACAGGAGATTTTTTCGAGTCACAAAATACAAGGCAACTCTGAGGGAGTTGTGTCTGCTGTTGTCAGAGTTAAGCAATAATTGAAAGGAAAGGAATTGATTGAAGGAGGATTGTTGAATTGAGGAAGGAAGGATATATGTTACCTAAAAGTTATACTATATTACCTTTACTATCCTTACATAATGTATCACACCCACCCCAATGGTAAATTGATTGGATAATATTTTAATGAAAAGGTAATCAATCATAATTTATTTATTTCATCCTCGTTCACACTATATTTCATATACTCTGCTTATTTATTTATTTATATTACTTTAGCTGTAAGAAATATGAAACTTTATCATTGAGTTCCTTCTTACTAAAATAAGGCTTTTGTACTTCATTTACAGTTTTGATAACAGTAAATAAATTAAAATTAAAGCTAAATTAAAATTTAAGTTAGGCTAAATTGAGTAATTAGCAGGTTTTTCATTGTTAATATTTTCTCAAATTCCATGTATTGGCTTTACTGACTATAATTTCCTTTCAGAAATTGCTGTAATACATTCTACTGATAAGGTATTTTTGTGGCGAATATTAATTTAGTGATTTTAAATTGTGATCTTATACGTATCAAAAATGTTGGTAGTACACTACAATAAAACTTTAGTTTACTGATTACTGATTAGTTTGTTAATTGTATCCTTTTCCCAGTACTAGACATACATACTCGTATATAAAGATACATTTAAAACAATTGACCCAAATTTTTATACTATAACCACAGACAATGGATTATATTGTCTGTGCTATAACAGTATAGGACACTGTGAGCAGTGGCGGTTCCAATCCAAGGGGGGGGGGGTTACAGGGGCTAAAGCCCCCCTTGAACCCTAGAAAAATAAATTTAAACATACATTTCGTCCTTAAAACACGCAATGTCATAAAACAGATAGCTATGTAGTTTTTATTAAACTAAATTAGCGATGGCAGGTCGAGTAGTATTAAGTTCCACATAGATAAGCTTTATGGGACAATAGCATGACGAATAAAACAATATTACGCTATTGAAAGTTGTACCATTGACTAATAGTCAAAGGTTGTACGCACCATACAATTTTTACAGCAGTCAGCTCACTCAGCTGTTGACATGCTAGGGCGAAGGCATCGTTCCTTCCACCATGAGGCAAAGGCGAGCGCCGAGCGTGACAGCGAGGACGAGGAAACAGCTGATTTCATGTTCCTAGTTGTCAAATTGTCTGCCTGCTAGCTTCTAACTTACTGTACACAGGCATCAGCCATCAGTGGTAGCACCAGTAGCCTATTACCATTGACTATATAAACACTAGTGCTTAAGTTTATATTGTCAATGTTATTACTGAATTTGATACTATGCATATTCATTGTGAGAGATCTATGAAATGGAGAAAAACGTAATGTTAAAAAACGTGTAGCTACTTGCTTGCATGACATATAACAGGTGAAATGGACGGTTATAGGACAATTGGGCACAGTTCTAGACGTTAAAAATGGCTTTATAAAGTCACCAAACGGCTTTTAGGAGATATGGCTTCGTAGTCTATAGTAGGACTATGTTTTGAAATTCATGAATGCAGGTTCGTCATAGTTTTTTTTCCTTTTTTTCTATGTTTCATGGCTCATGACAAAGACAGAAACAGGTGAAATGGGAGGTTTTTGGACAGTTGGACACAGATATAGGCATTAATAATGGCTTTAGAAAGTCAGTAAACAGCTTCTAGGAGGATATGGCCGTACAATATATGCCTACAATATGTTTTGAGATTTATGAATGCAACCGTCATAGTTAGTTTTAAAAATGTCTACTTATTCATGACAAATAAGGAAGGAGGTTTTGCACACAGTTCTAGACGTTAAAAATGAATTTAGAAAGTCACTAAACGTCTTTTAGGAGGATATGGCCGTAATCTACAGTGTGTTTTAAAATTCAATCGTCTTAGTTTAATTTTGTAAATGTATACTTGCTCATGACAAACAACAGGTGAAATGAGAGTTCAATTGGACACAGTTTTAGGTGTTAAAATGGCTTTACAAAGTCACCAAATGGCTTTAAAAATTCCAAATTTCCCCGGGGAAGGACCCCCCCTGACCGCCGGTAGCACCCACCTTGACAAGGTTCTAGAACCGCCACTGACTGTGAGTGTGAGTACCATCGATTAAAAATAACATTAACGAGATTGACATTTTTTGTAATTTGTTTTTATTTCACTTTAAAAAGGAAAAATCAAATTACACAATATAATATGCAAATTCGTTCAATTTGCACTGGGATATCTTGTATTTTTTGTAATAATCACAAAGTCATAGTCCAATTTTGAAAATCAGTTATTTTTAATGTAATTTCATTAAACCTTTGATTATTGCCATAATACAATGTATTATTTTTATTGAGCTGATCTATAGGAGGGATAAAATGTGTAAGGGAAATTTGTAATTGGACCTACTTTATATAAATCTACGTTTATACGTTTTCATTCTGGGTCGGTAAAAGATAAGGTAGGTTTCTAACCGGTATGAATCTGTGCGTGTTGACGTTTGTATTAACTTACTGCTATTGCACCACTATTTTTAACCAAATAAATAGATTTTTTTAATAAATTGATTTTGTTTCTGGTATTGTAGTGAAAGAGACTATAAAGATAGTTAATACCCAAACTATGACTCTTTATTAAATAATCATGGCGCAGTCGATTTTAATCAATAGAAAGTAAAGTTTAAATAGAAGAAGAGAAAGTAAAGTTTAAATGTTATGGAGTTCAATAAACCAGATCCACTGAACCTATCGGAAGGAAACATTTCAGACAAATTTAAACAGTTTAAGGAAGAAATCGACATTTAATTTATTGCTACAAAAACAACGAAAGAAAGTAAGGAAATTCAATTAGCCAGACTGAAAAATCGACTGGGGACAGATGGTTTGAAATTGTACAACTCAATTAAAGATGAGTCTGTGGTTGAAACTGTTGAAAACGTGATGAAGACATTGGAAAAACACTGTGTACCAAAACAAAATATGACCATGAGCATTCATCTTTTATTTTCAAGGAAACAACTACCTCATGAAAATGTTGACTCGTTTTACGCAGACCTCAGAAATCTAATAAGATGTTGCAAGTTTGAAGAACAGGAAGAAAAAATATTGAGAGCACTTATAATTCTAGGAGTGAATAATAAAGAGTTGCAGGAAAAACTACTAAGAGAAGATACAAGTTTTGATAGAGTAATCAATTCTGTAAAGCATCTGAACTTGCAGAAAAAAATGTGCGACTTGTCAATAATAAAGGTAAAACAGATCAAAACAATTTTGAAGTTGACATGGTCGTGAATTCTAAATTTACAGATGGACAGGGCATGAGTGCAATACGTTTTAATCAGCAACAGCAGCAGGGGTATAACACGTCACACGGAGGTTACAACAGACAGGTAGGCAAAACTAATAATTGTTATAGATGTGGTGGTATCCATCATGGAATGTGTCCTGCAATAGGAAGAATCTGTAAAAAATGTGGTAAGCCAAACCACTTTGCTAGTGTTTGCCGAAATAATAATAAATTCCTTGGTTCAAAACAATGTAATAATTTGCAAAATGTTTGTGATAACAGCATGTCAGTTGAAGACAATCATGAATCAGACATTAATAGCCTTTGTGTGGTTGATAGCATAAAAAATAAAAACGCTTGGTATAAGACTCTTCTGGTAGAAGGCAAAGAAATAAAATTCAAACTTGACAGTGGGGCAGATGTCAATGTTCCATTTCGCTATTTAAGAAATCTGAACTTGCCTAGTAAACTGAAGCCTTGTAACACCACATTGCAGTCATTTGGGGGGTTTTCCATTAATCCTTGTGGTATAATCGATGTTCAAATTGAAACCGATCAAAAGATTGATGTAGTTAGTTTTTTAATTGTAAAAAATGAAAACACAGTACCTATTTTAGGACTTGAAACATGTATTAAATTTAACCTACTAAAACGAATTGACAGTGTCAGAAATGAAAATGGTGGTAATACCGACCTAGAGAAAGAGAAGTTAAAAATCTTTGAGGAAAATAAAGATGTTTTTGAAGGATTAGGCTGTTTCCCGGATAAATGTAAAATCAAAATAAAAGAGGGTGCACAACCCACAATTAGTACTGCAAGGAGGCTACCTCTAAAAATTAAAGATAAGTTTAAAGAGACCTTGGACTCTCTTGTGAAAAGAGGCATCATACAACCTGTTGAAGAACCAGTAAATTGGGTAAGTAATGTTGTTGTGGTGGAAAAGCCCAATGGGTCCTTAAGAATTTGCATTGATCCAATAGAGTTAAATAAAAATATTGTGCAAGAGAAATTCACAATTCCAACTTTGAATGAAATTTCTCCTATGCTAAACAACAAAACTCATTTCTCTATCTTAGATTTAAAGGATGGGTTTTATCATGTGCGCTTAGACGAGGAATCAAGTAACCTTTGTTCTTTTGCAACTGTATTTGAAACATATAAATTTCTGAGAGCTCCTTTTGGTCTGTCTTGTATGCCTGAAATGTTTCAAAGACTTGTAGGCCTAAGTAAATACTTTGGGGATATACCAGGGGTGTCAGTTTATTTCGACGATCTTTGCATAGCAAGCAGATCTAAAGAAGAAAATGATGAAACTCTTGAACAAGTGTTTGAGCGGGCTCGGAAGTACAATATCAAATTTAACTTAAGCAAGTTTCAGTACTGTAAAAGTGAAGTAAAATACTTAGGGGTAAAATTTTCAAAAGAAGGGATGTCACCTGATCCTGACAAAATAGATTCAATCAAAAAATTAGTCAATCCAACTAACAAAACTGAACTGCAGAGAATGCTCGTAATGATAAATTATTTAAGAAGTTTCATCCCAAATGTGTCTGAATTAACTGCTCCATTAAGAGAACTTTTAAAAAAGAATGTAGTTTGGAATTGGACTCAGAGTCATTCAAAAGTACTTGAAGATTTAAAAACAATTATCTGTAATTCTCAAGTTCTCGCACCTTTTGATCCAGATATACCTGTGGAAATCCAATGAGATGCATCAAAGGATGCTATTGGCTTTTGTATGCTTCAGAATGGTAAGCCTGTACATTTTGGGTCCAGATCAATGAACAATACTGAGCAAGACTATGCACAGATAGAGAAAGAACAACTGGCAATTTGTTTTGCTGTAAAAAAACTGCACACTTATATATATGGTCTTCAGGATGTAGTAGTTTTTACAGATCACTTACCACTTGTGTCAATAGCAGTAAAACCACTTGGGAAAATTGTAAATAACAGACTAAAGAGATTGAAACTAAAACTAATTGATTACCAGCTGAAAGTAAAATACTTACCAGGAAGATATATGTACATTGCCGACTTCATGTCAAGATGTGAAATTAAAACTAACGAACCCAAAGATGTTCTAATGGATGATTTCGTTCACACTGTGGAAGTTCACGAAATAACTGAAGACGAACCTAGACTAAAACTTTTTCAATCCAAAACTAAGTCAGATAATATTTTGACCTCGGTAAGTGAGTATCTACATAACTGTTGGCCGGATCCAAAAGTACTTGAGGGTGAGATAAAACATTTTTTTAATATCAGACAAGACCTGCAGGTTAATGATGATTTAATTTATTATGGCGAAA